GCCTAATAGATGAGGAAGGGGTGCGAGGCTGGTCAATAGATAGAATCTGTTTACCCCTTAAGTCTTTGCCTAGGAGGCCTTCTACAAGACAGCAGCTGGATGCATGTAACATCTGCCCAAGATGAGTATTTTTATCGAGACACCATCTCTAGCCTTTACTCAACCAAGAGCCCCAAGGCAGGGGGTGTTTTAATTCGGAGTTAACTTCTCCTAGCCTTTGCCTAAAAAAGCGTATCCTACAAGGCAGCAGGACATGGAGCAGGTTGTACTGGGTTACATGTTACCAGTAGCAGGAAAACCTGACCTGACCTATTTTTGTGCTTTTTGTACCTGACCTGACCTATTTTTGTGCTTTTTGACCTGACCTATACTTGTGCTTTTTGTAAAATAAGAATAACTTACAAAAAAAATAAAAAATGATGAAAATCTGAAGATTATTATTGTTCTACATGTAACAAGGAATGTATCCATATCAAAACTTTTATTATTGGTCTTCAAAATACTGAATAATGAAGCTTCAAAGTTAAGTATGCCATCATAGGCGCCTTTCCCCTAATTTTAAAAAAAGTTTAATACCGGTATAATACCAGTATTGAAATTATTCAGTACCGAAAAACCGGTATTGAAAAATGGTATCGGTATTGGAAGCACTAAATACAAATAATTTTAACAACTAATCCATTTTCCTCAGTGTACCCGATAACTGATTCTTTCCCCCAAGAAAGAAAAGTTTTTAAGTTCTTAGAAATTGGTTTACTAACTTCAATTATTTTTGCTTCAGCCATTCTTACAAACTCGTTATACTTAAACTTAAAATTCTTTTTTCTGTTTTAAATACTAATTAAAATTATAAAGCCCACTCTCTAAATATCATCAGCATTATTGTGAAGAAGTTCCGCTTCCTCCTAACATAGTAATTTAACGTTTTTAGTTAATTTCTATTTAGCTAATTAAATTTCTACAGTGACTCAATGATTTAATTATTTCATTTGTTCATCTTACAAAAAATTGTTTAAAATGTGTTAAACTTTTAAAACTACGCGAAGCATAAAACAGTCATTGAAAAAACTTTTTTATTTATAAATAAATTATCTAGCGTTAGTTTTACTGGTTGAATCTTGTTGGACTTTTCAGGGCCGGGGACTGCATTAATTTGGTGGCCTTTTTTATGTGCCAAAGCGTAAAAATGACTAAAAAAAATATCGAATATTTTTCTTGACTATTTCGCAGCCCCTAATATTGTGAGTCCCGAGGCTATAGCCCTTCAACTCCCCCCCCCCTCTCCTTCTTAATTCAGCACTGGAAATAAGACATAAGTATATAAATAAAAATTATATATACTCTTTGATAAATTGAAGAACATTTGTTTCCTTATTAAACAATCATTAATAGTAAAGTGTTACTTTATGTAAAAAATGTCACTTAATTTTATAAAAAAAAATTATAAAAGAGCGACATTTCAAAAATATTTGCTCTATTCATATTTATTTTGCTTAAAGTTGTTTTGCGTTAAAGGCTATTTTTCTTTTTTTAACTGTCTCTCATCGGTCCAGTTAATCTTATTGCGCTTTTTTGATTGTTTTTGAAATGTTCTCAAAACGACTAAAAAATCTGGTTTTTCGCAACTAAATATTACTTCCGTGGTCAATTATCGAGTGCGATCGCACCTGTTTCCCAACCAAGCCTGTAATAGCAGTTTTTTTTGAAAATGTTGTCTTTTACCATCGACTTTTTTTCCCTATCATCGACCATTTTTCCCTGGACACATTCAAGAGTATTCATCTGATTGTTAGAGTTCATGAACTTGATTTTTTTACTTTCTCACTAACAGGTCTTTCCTCTTTATTAGACCGTTCTGCCATTATGCCATGCATTTGTTTTAAATGTCTTGCAGTATTTATTCTTTGGAAAGCAGAAAAATAGTTTTGTGTATAATCAATGTTCCAACTCTCAGGAATCGAAGTTAGTAATTTAAGTTTTTCTGATTTTAAAGAAATATCAAACATTGCTTTAATTAATTCTAATAGTGAGTCCACATTTCATCAAAATCTGAAGGGTCCATGTTGGACCCTGGTTTACTTGGCATGGAATGACCCTAAACTGCTACAAAATTTCCTGAGTACTTTATTGTAATCTAATAAAAGATAATCATTGAAAAAAGTATTTAGATTAGAGTTTAAGGCAAAAGGAGTACAGAAGCTATCAAAAAATCATTACAAACAGTTTTATCATGGAAATATAATTTGTAATAAAAAAATATTTACATTAATAAATAAAACAATTACAATAATCATGAAATAATCCAATCTGTGAACTTTTTTTTTACTATCCCAGGGCGCAACATCGTTTATTTAAATGAAAGTTGACTTACATATCTTTAATTATTTACAAGTGTCTAGTTTAAGAGATTAATGTCAAATAAAGGAGTTTTATTTTCAAATAATCTTTATTCTAGTTAATAAGTTAAATATTATTATTAACTAATATATCAAAGATGATATAATAATTATTAAAAAATATATCAAAGATGATTGATAAATATATTTAACTTTTTTTTTTTTTTTTAACTTATTTTTTTAACACATTTGCAAAGTGCACGCAAACTAATGATAAAAGTACAATAAATAATACTTTCAAGTATACATATGTTTTTAATATGCAGACAAACATTACTTCACTTACCAGAAAATAAGAAAATTTAAAAAAAAAACCAAGCATGCAAAACTTTATTTATAATGAATGCATTTGCTTTAAATTTTTGTCATTGCTAATTACTTAAAAGAAACCATGCCTAAACATTATAATCGCTTT